TGAATTTTAAATAGGGAATAATTTTTAAAAATTTTCAAAGATTTTAAATATGACACAGCTATTAATATATTTGCTTTTTAATTGGTTTTATAGGGGAAATGTTTTTTGTTTTGTTTTTTAACATGCTGTGAGCCGCCCTGAGTCCCTCTGGGGAGAAGGGCGGCATAGAAGTTTATGAAAATAAATAAATAAATAAATAAATAAACATCCTATTTAAGCTAGCTGAGTTGCTATGAACTTAAAAGAGAAGGAGAAGCTCATGCCCATGACTCAGATACTTTGACACAGAAATAAGATAACAAATACAATAGAAAGAACAAGGGGATGCCATAAGACACTTAATGTGTAGCTTGATCCATCTTGACTATGTTAGGACAGATTGACAGATAAGAATGAAAGCCAGATAGCATTAAATCTATCCAAGACTGGTTCCTATCCTTTCTTTTTCCCTTGTTTTTCCCAGTGGGGATGTGTTTCATCTTCCAGTTGCTGTCATTTTCAAAGTTGAAAGTAGAAGGGCAAAAATATAAATTCTCCAGTTCCTGGTTTAGCAAAATACAACTGATGTGCTCAAATAACGTGGAATTCTTCAAGAAATCCTATTATGACCCAACATGAGAATGTGGTTTATACACAGCCAAAGTATATTGAAATGCTAAATATCGAACATCGTTTTTGTTTAATCTCTTCCGCTAGCCAAGCCAAAAAAAACAGGGAGGAGGTTTCTCCCAAAGAGCTCTATGTGGGGAGGGGGTGACTCCCCCCAAAAAGTACCCTTTTCCAGCCCTATTTCACCAATGTTTTTAGTTTGTTTGAGGGAAGAAGAGATTTGGATACGATAATGAACTCCAGTTTCAACCAGGTTTTTATAAACATATTCCTTTCTTATCCTAAAGATAAGGTTGGAGATTGTTGACATGAGAGTCGAACTTCTCCTCCTGTGACCCAGCTTCATTTGACTGATTCCAGATGGGGACTGAATCCAGCTGAGAAACAAACCAGAACTTCAAATGTAAAACTGAAGGTTCTGGAAGAAACAGTGGGGATAAAGGCCGATGAGATTCCCTTAAATTCCCCTGTGAAGAGGAAGTCAGATTAAAGGGATGAGTAGGAACAAATGTAATTGGTGGGTAGTCAACAAAATCTGCAAACTGATCTCTTTTCCAACATTTTTGTCACACAAGGACATGGACTTCTACCCTAGCAGGAGGCTAAGAGGAGCTCTTACAACCTTCTTAGAAAAAAAAAAAAGAATTATCTTTCCACTATATTTTATGGTACCCCAGTTAATTTTTATCTCTGGACATCAAAACAACAGCTGCAACACCCCACCAGTGCTTAAAAACTGGGGGGGGGGAGGGAAACTCTGTAAATATTATAAGATCATCCAAAACTGCAAGAGTTGAGATCTTACCAATCTAAAACTGCAAGAGTTGAGATCTTACCAATCTAAATAGGAACCATTTTAAATGGTGCCTATTGTTGCTACTTCAAATATGGTGGTCAGAGCAGACACTGTAGGCCTCCCAACACTCTAAACACAACGTATGGAAGCAATAATTGTGGCTACCAGGCCTGATTCACACTCTGAACGTGTGCTCAATATGGCTCAGGAATGTTTTTCTCTGATCTTCAGAAAACAGTACAGAACAG